TATATTTTACATACAGCACTACATAAATGTAAGGCGTTTAACAATGATTCAACTTATATACACCATGAAATGATTACCACAATAGGTTTAGTGAACATCTATCATCTCTTAAAGGTACAACATTAAAGAAATAGAAAAAAAAATTTTCTCATTGTGATGAGAACTCTTAGGATTTATTCTCTTAACAACTTTCATCTATAACATACAGCAGTGTTAATTACCTTTATCACGTTGTACATTACATCCCTAGTACTTATTTATAACTGGAATTTTGTTCCTTCTGACTCTCTTCTAATGCCCCCTCCCCTAACCCCTGAAAGTACCTAGGATCTTAAGAACAAATTAATAGAATGTAGTGGAATGTTAATTATAAGTATCAAATATATATTTATACTTATTGCATTAATGAAAGACCCTGAATGAAAGTCCTCAATTTATGCCAAGAAATGGGTTTTGGGGACTTCAGTTATACATTTACTGAAGACACCAGCCCTTCAGTAAATGTATAACTATGCAGAGAGTAAGTTCAGAAAATGTATGGATTAATAGAGAAATTTAGTGCTACAAAAACACAAAACCCTAACTGAAATTCTGATGTTCTGCCACCAACAGGGGACATTCCAACCAACTTAGAGAAAGCCAGTCATTATCACCATTGGAGGCTTCAAAAAGTTCAGATTCTCAACACTTAGGTTACTAGAACACTCAAGGCTGAAGATGCCACCTACGATAGAGTTCAAATCTGAAGCAGCCGTTACTCCAGACTGTCATTCTAGAACCACCAAGCCGAACCCTGGGGCAGCTGATTATATGGGTCAGCTAAAGATGCAGAGTTCAAAACCAAGAATTTATATTTAACTGTGTGTCAACCCCCATTCTCCTTCCAAAATCAGCTTCTGTATCAAATCCTCTTATACTACTGCCCCCAAATGGGAACATGTTCCCATGTGATAAAGCACGTAGAGCAAACTCTTGATTACAGAATCTAAGTGGTGGGCATGAGTGTTCACTGAACAATTCTTCCAACTTTCCCATGTTTGACATTTTTCACATTAAGATGGTGGAAGAAAAAATTCCGTCTGGTGACATGTGGTAACTGCCCTGGTAGCAGGATCCCTGGTAAAACATCTCCTTTCTAGGAAAACTACAATTCTAAGTTAGAGCTACCTGATGATGCAGAGGTGAAAAAGTAGGAAGTACAAAGACATTAACTGACTAATGCAAAAGACAGATTATAAAAGGGTGGCTTTAAGGTTTCTAAAAATGGACTCCTGATACTCCTTCACTGAACCCAACCCCAAACTTTTAGCTGGAATTATCACCTGGAATTAAAACAACAACAACAGCAAAAAACACATTACACAGAATTTTACCAACCAAGATCAGATTCAAATACTAAACATAAATTTGGAAGGCAATGCAGAAACTTAAACTCATGGATCACGCCACTACTGCTTGTTCAACGGAAGTAGGCAGGAACTGGTGTACATTCCTATCAAGATGACATCATGGAAGGCATTTATCATGCTCAACTAAAAACATTCCTGGACAGCAATGTCTAAATCAGACACTGGGCTGGAGAGACCACTAACGCCACCTGGAGTGAAATGGGGGGCGGGGACTCAAGTCACTCACCCCCAGCCTCACAGTCAAGCAAAGCCAAAACAACACACGATTAAAAGTGGCTGTTCAGGACCTCCCTGGCGGTCCAGTAGTTAGGACTCTGCACTTCCACCGCAGAGGGCACAAGTTCGATCCCTGGTTGGGGAAGTTCCACGTGCCGCACAGTGCAGCCAAAAATTTAAAATGTAGCTGATCATAAATGTGAGATGCTGTCTTACCTAAGTAAAAAGCTGAGAGAAAATCGTGGGGCAGAAGTTCCCCAAATTAAAGTGACAAACCCCATGTTCAGGAAGGACTAACAGAATCAAGATCAACAGAAGGATTAACACAATTAAAAAGTATCAAAATTTACCTCACATTTTATACTCAATGCCAATTGAATTGGTGTATAGAAAATAATCCATTAGAAGAATATAGGCTTGGGGACTTCCCTGGTGGCGCAGTGGTTAAGAACCCGCCTGCCAATGCAGGCGACATGGGTTCCATCCCTGGTTCGGGAAGATCCCGCATGCCTCGGAGCAGCTAAGCCCGTGCGCCACAACTACTGAGCCCGCACTCTAGAGCCCACGAGCCACAACTACTGAGCCCACGTGCTGCAATTACTGAAGGCTGCACGCCTAGAGCCCATGCTCTGCAACAAGAGAAGCCACCGCAACGAGAAGCCCACGCACTGGAACGAAGAGTAGCCCCCGTGCGCTGCAACTAGAGAAAGCCCGTGCATGGCAACGAAGACCCAACGCAGCTAAAAATTAATTAAAAAAAAAAAAATGTCAGAGGCAGAAGCTAAGTTCTAAAAAAAGAAGAAGAAGAAGAATATAGGCTAATTGGTGCTAATTATAATACAGTTACGACAGAGCCTTTAACCAGAATTCCCAAGAATACTTTTAAAATAAGGAAGCCTCCAATTTGTGGAACCTCAACCAGTTTGCCTTCCCTGCTTAAACTGCCCCTAATTGCCTGAAATTCCATAACATTAAGCAACTTTCACGCTACAAAATTTAGATACGCACTTACAGCTGTAACTATTTTTAATAAAACATTCCCATCAGGAATATAGTTTATTCAGATAAAAGCAGGAAAATATTTTTGATGGAAAAAGTATATATCTAGATTTTTCATTTAAGCCATGTCTGCTACATGTTAGCACTGATTTAAAGTAATACAGCTCGGTTGAGAATCCACCTGCCGATGCAGGGGACACGGGGCTCGTGCCCCGCTCCAGGAAGATCCCACATGCTGCGGAGCGGCCGGGCCCGTGAGCTATGGCCGCTGAGCCTGCGCGTCCGGAGCCTGTGCTCCACAACGGGAGAGGCCACAACAGTGAGAGGCCCGCATACCACAAAAAAATAAAAAATAAATAAATAAAGTAATACAGCTCAATTTTTTTCGTAAAGGTACATTTCACCTCTAATGTCAACATCAATGTCAAAAACAGTACTAAAAAACTGACAGAAAACTCTAGGTCACCGTGTTTTATGCCTAACACTCCTTCCACAGAGCCTAGCAGTGCCTCAGAGTAATAGAAACAGCAATAAAAATACTGGCAGCTGCCACTCACTAAGCACTCAGTAGGGGCCAGGCACCTGTGAGACACTTAATATCCAGCATCTTGTTTAATCCTCACAATTTCCCCTTGAGGCACCTCTCTTGGGGGATGAGTGATATGCTCAGGGTTTCCCCATAAGTGGTGAGGTGGGGATATAAAGGAAGGATCCAGATCCCACAGTAGGCATTCAACAAGTATTTAACTAGATAAACAAGCCAAGGCAAACAGCAGAGGTCCACAGTCTGTAAGTATAATTAAGTAAACTGAATATGTCTTATGTGCTTATGTTTTTAAATTTTTCAAATAAGAATATTACATTCTAGGATTAGGTAATGGATTATCAGCGATATGACTTAAAAAAACTAGTGTGTATTACTGATTCTGCATTCTTATTTTTTAAAGGAAATTCAGATAATTTAAAATGTTCCTAAGACAGTGACATATGCTCAGTTAATTCAGTAGCAAAAGGATCAAAACTTCATTTAAATGAATTTAGTGATTTCACTGTTAAACCAACTAACTGAACATTTTCCCCCAAATTAAAGCTTTCTTTTAAAGGGTTAAAAAAAACACAAAACTACTATACATATTCCTAAATAGAAACTTACAATTTTTAATTATATAGACAGTACTATGAAGTGTCAATAATCTTTCACATTTGTGAGCCTGACAAATCATACAGAGGGCATCTTTTAAAAAAATCAGTTGTCTGTCCTTCATGGATCTGAATTAGTTATAGAAACAAGTCAAATGTCTAATTTACAACGATCTAAAGAAACCTAGAACTCATAAATTCATCGAGAGGCATAAAAGCAAACCAGCCCTTATAACAAGTTTAGGGTACAGGGATGCCAGAACTCTTCGTTCGACTTTACAAGACTCCAAATAGGTACCAGTTGCATTCTGACTTTGCTGCAACTGGTAGTAATTCTTGGAGCTTCCTTGTTAACGCTCATGTACTCGAACCATGCTGAGACGCACGATTTTGCTCGGATTACACTGAGATTCTTGTTTCCAGGGGAGGAAAAAACTGCCTAAGACAAGTCTTCCTTTAGGGCCGGGAACCACCACAGACAGTAGTGAAAAGAACTGTTTTGAGTCACAGGGCGGCCCGGCTCAGGGAGGCTGTTCTGCTACATCCCAAACCTAACGCATGAGGCGAAGGCCAGCTTTTTCTCCTTTTCTTTTCTTTCTTTCCTTTTTTTTTAAAATGTATGACCACACCACATTCCGAGAAAGGAACCGTCTTAAGCACACCCAGCTCCTCGCAGCTAGAAATCCTAAGTTTCCCCACCTTAATAGCAAACAGAGAGTCCCTTAAAAAAATCAGAAAAGTGGTTTAAGTACAAGCGGAAGGCACCCCCTGGCGAATCAGTTTAGGATCCACCCCCAACCAGCCCGTGCACATATTCCTCCCCTACGACCAAGCTGGGACCGCCGGGACCCACGAAAGGTCTCAATGAAACTCGAGGTTAATGGGAAAATCAAGAGGGGGTCCTTTTTTAAGAAAGGCAACTCCCTAAACCCACCCAAACTACAGGCAAACGAGAGAGGGTGGCGGCCCGGGTCGAGTTCTGCCGGGCGGTCAGCGGGCCGGGGAGAAAGCGGGAGGGTGGAGTTGGAGTTCACTTTCCCTCCGGCCGCCGATCGCCGATCCCCCTCCCTCCCCCCACCACACACACCAAAAAAAAAAAAGCCACTGCAATGAGTTTGCGCCCGCGCCCCCCGCCCGGGAGAGGCCCTGCCAGGCCCCACGCCAGCCCGCGGCGCCCGCCCGCCCGCCAGGCCCCTAGCCCCGGCCCCCGACCCCCGGGCCGGCCCGCGCACTCACCCGTCTCCCACCACCACACACTTGATGGCCTGCATCTGGGCCGCTCTCTGGGCCGCGGCGGCGGCGGCCGGGCGCTGAGGCGAAGAGCGGAGAGCTCGGGGAGCGGCGGGCGGGCGGGCGCGCGGCTGCGGGCGGCGGGGCGCGGGGTGCCGGGGCCGCTGTCCACGCCGCCTTGCCCTCCGCCGACAGGAAGCCGGAGCCCAGCAGCAGCCACCACCCAAAGCTGGGGAAAACTGCAGAGAAACAGGAAATGGCCGCTCCACTCACATCCGGCCTCCCCTCCCCCGCCCCGGCGCCTCCGCTCCCAGGCTCCGGGGCGGGGCCGCTCCCGCCCGCGCGGCTCCCGGGGTTTCTCTAGGCTTCGGGAATGCTCGGGAGCGCTCGGAAGCGCTCGGGAACGCTCGGGAACGCTCGACTCCGGACTCCGGGAGCCGGGCGCGGGGCGGGCCGCCAGCCATCTTTGTGCGCTTCGGCCGCGGTCCTGGCCCCGCCCCGCCCGCCCACGTTGGCCTCGAGGGGGGCCCCGGCTTCCAGGAGCCGGCTCCCCGAGCCCGCGACCAACTCCTGTCGGAGGCCGCCCGAGGGGTGGACATCTGTTCTTTGTGATCCCCATAACTTAGGTGATGACAAGGCCCTTCTAGAAAATTCGCAACCTAGAACTATAAAGAAAAGACCATACACGGTACCATTAATCAGAGATAACTAATGTTCATTCAGCCAAAAATAGGTTGAAGTTTCCTCCCTTGCCTATGCATTTTCTAGTTATTCTTAATTTTTTTTTTTTTAATTAATTATTTTTGGCTGCTTCGTTTGGCATGCTTCGTTGAAGCATGCAGGCTTTCTCTAGTTGCGGCGAGCAGGGGCTACTCTTTGTTGCGGAGCGCTGGCTTCTCATTGCGGTGGCTTCTCTTATTGCGGAGCACGGGCTCTAGGCACGCAGGCTTCAGTAGTTGTGGCTTGCCAACTGTAGAGCGCAGGCTCAGTAGTTGTGGCGCACGGGGTTAGTTGCTCTGCGGCATGTGGGATCTTCCTAGACCAGGGCTCGAACCCATGTCCCCTGCATTGGCAGTCAGATTCTCAACCACTGCGCCACCAGGGAAGTCCCCTTAATTATTCTTAATGCGTTGAGTGTTTACTATGTCCTACTGATTTGCACCAAGTTCTGGAGATAATGTCCTGTTAGCAGACCATTAACGTGAGAATATTTTGGTATATCTCCTCCTAGTTACATCTGTATATATATAATGAACATGTTTTTAAACAAAATTGGGAAATCATGCTGAATCATTGTTAGAACATTTTTTATGACTGCTTATTTTTCATTCCATTATGCGCATGTGCCTTAATTTAACCAATTTCTCTATTATCAGCCGATATTTCCCTATTTGAGAAAGAATGCTGGGATGAACATGTATGTACAAGAATCTTTGTAGCTTTATTTCTTTAGACTGCATTCCCCCAAAATGGAGTTACTGGGTTAAAAGAGGTGAATGTTAAAAAAAAAAGAGGTGAATGTTTTTTAAAGCTTTGATACATGTTACTGCAATGCCCTTCTGCAAGGTGATAACCAGTTCACACTCCCCTTACCCTGTTTAAGAGTGGATCTTCCGGAGGAGTTATTTCCAATAATATTTTCATCTTGTAGGTCTTCTCTTCCTGTAACTCATTCAGTTGTTCAGTATTATAACAATTTTTCTGAAATCAGACCTTTTCTATACAATTTTTTTAAAGCATTTTTGTCTTGCAATTATCTCAAACTAAACGTTTCCAGAGCAAAGGGCATCTCTTCTTTGTTCATTAAGATCCCCCTTGAAGGCCTCTCTCACCTTCGGAGATGGCCCACACACTGTGTGTGGAGTGTGTATCTCCCTGAATAAACCTTCCTTCACTTTACTGTGGCTCGCTCTTGAATTCTTTCCTGCACAAAGCCAAGAACCCACCCTTGGCGGCCGCCCCAGGGACTCGCCTGAGACCTGGGACGTGACCATCCTCTAGCCCCTCACTCTCTTTCCTGCAGCATCTTTTCTGGTGCCCAACATGGGAACTCAAAGGGCAGAATCTCGATCCGCCTATTGGGCTTCGACTTCCCCTCTGAAGGGTGGCTGGGACTTCTCCTGAGCTGTGTAGATTCAAGGAGGCCCTTAGGTGGTGACTGACACTGCCTGCAAGATCTGGCAGAGACAAGTTCTCTGGCCATGAAGGAGCCCGCCGAGGCCAAGGCTTTTCTCCTCTGGATCTTTCTCATTATCCTATCGCTCTATCTCTTTGGACTCGAGAAGATCCACCCAGACGACCACCACCGGACATCCAAATTAAGACTGCGCGAGGCAAGTCATTGACAACTTGGCTGGAAACTAAGGCCCCCAATCAGGTGGAGGATGGCAACATCAGGCTGAGCACAAGATTCCTGGAACACTGCCCTGTTACCTCACAGCCAACCAATCAGAGGAAGGCCACACACCCTGCAGCCCTCACCCCAGATTTTGCCTATAAAAACTTTTCCCCCAAAACCATCAGGGAGTTCGGGGTTTGTGAGCACGAGCCACCCGCGTTCTCTTTGCTTGACCCTGCAATAAACCTTTCTCTGCTCAAAAAAAAAAAAAGATCTTGCTAGAAGGTATTGGAGGTGTGGAGAGGCTGGTTAGGAGGAGATAATACTAGTCCAAGGAAGACGGGTGTTACGGGCTGAACTGTGTCTCTCCCAAATTCATATGTTGAATTTCTCAGTGTCTCAGCATGTGTCTCAGCGTGTGAGTATCTCAAGATAGGATTTTTAAAGATATAATTAAGGTAAAATGAGGTCCTATGGGTGGGCCCTAATCTAACATGACTGGTGTCATTTTAAGAAGAGGAGATTAGGACACAGACAACACATAGACTGAGGGGAGACCACATGAGATCACAGTGAGGTGGTGGCCATCTGCAACCCAAGGACAGAGGCCTCAGAAGCCAAACTTGTTGACACCTTGATCCTGGACTTCTAGTCATAGTTTCTCTAGACTTTTGAGAAAATAAATTTCTGTTGTTCAAGAAAAAAAGTTCCCCCTTAAAGAGGAGTTGAGATTTCAAGGACTGTAGAGCAACTGTGGTCCCTTTGCTGATAGAAATGTCCAGAGAATCTATGAAAAACCTCAACTACTAAGTGTAATTACCTTCCTATCTTTAGACCAGAAGCAAGTAAAAGGGTGGGGCCTCAAGTCAACAATTTAACTGAACAAATATTTTAGTGCTCTTGTTGCATAATGGACTGATAGGAAATGAACCAGACAAGGACACAGTTGCCAGGATTTCAGGCCTTCTGAGCTCAGTGCTGTAAGTGTTGCCGAAACTCAGCCTAATAGAAACATGGAGACACAGTCTTAGGTGAAGTGGAAAAGAATAGCTCTTAGCGCTTTGCCAGGCCCACAGCAGGATAATGCCCTCAAGACTGTGTGTCCTTCCCTGGAGGGAGTAGTGAGGAGTCTTCCAGTGTTCAAGGAGGAGGGCGTGGTCAGCTCACGGACATTCTTCTGATTGGTTGGTGGTGAGGTAACGGGGACTCACCATCATCAGCCTTCTGGTTCCAGCTGGTCTGGGGTCTACGTGCTTGTGGGCAGCATGCGGTTAACTTACTTCTTCCACCTGGTGGGAGTTTCAGTTTGTGCAAAACAGCTCAAAGGAGGAGGCTCAGAGCAGTATCTACAGCCCTTGAGGAGGAACTAAAGGTCCTTGACTTTGTTTAATGGCTAAAGTATTATTATTTTGTATTGTTTGACTGTTTTCCTTTCTTTCTGCATTTTTTTGCTTCTCTGATTAAATTTATTCTTTGACTAAAGTTTTTCTACAGACAAAAGGTGGCGGAGGACATGCGTGGGGGATCTATTATGGGAAAGCCTCACAGGGTCCTGCTCGGTTACAGAAGTGGGGGACAATATGGTGCTTATCAGGAGGCAAAAAAACTATAGTTATGCTAATAAAAAGGCTTTCCTCAAAGAGATGAGAGTTGAAAGATGGTCTGGGTAGAATGGGTCTCGATGGAATAAGAAGAAAAGAGTTGGACTTCCCTGGTGGCTCAGTGGTTAAGAATCCGCCTGCCAATGCAGGGGACATGGATTCTAGCCCTGGTCCAGGAAGACCCCACATGCTGGGGAGCAGCTAAGCCTGTGAGCCGCAACTACCGAGACTGCACTCTAGAGCCCACGAGCCACAATGGCTGAGCCCACATGCTGCCACTACTGAAGCTCGTGCGCCTAGAGCTCATGCTCTGCAACAAGAGAAGCCACCACAGCGAGAAGCCCGTGCACCGCGACGAAGAGGAGCCCCTGCTCGCCGCAGCTAGAGAAAGCCCGCGTGCAGTAACGAAGACCCAAATCAGCCATAAATAAATAAATAAATAAATTTTAAAAATTAAAAACAAAAAAGAAGAAGAAAAGAGTTTTCCACGGAAAGAACAAAGTCCAGGAATTTAGAGGCCCAGGGCCATCTTCAGCCCTGACGCAGAGGCACTTGTGCTGCTAGAATCCTGGAGGTAACTGCAGGCTGAGTTACAGACTGGGTGTGGACTTTATTCTGATAAGACAGGAGTTTTTGAGCAAACATGTGACTTGACCACATTGAGATCATTATTTCTCTAGATTGATAAAGTGAAATTCCATCGTATGAGAAGTTTGACCAGGAATATAAAATAATAATATATATAAAATAATAAAGTTAATGTACATGCCACATATGAAAATCAGCTTTAAATGAAAACTGAGTTAGTTTAAAACTTAATTGAAAACTTCTCCAAGTTTGGCCTTGAGTGGCCATTTACAATGTTCTACATGGCAACGAATGGTCCAAAAAAGTTAAAAATTAAAACTAAATAAAAAGAATCTGAAAAAGAATGTGTGTGTGTGTGTGTGTGTGTATCTGAATCACTTTGCTGCACACCTGAAACTAACACAACATTGTAAATCAGTTATACTTCAATTTTAAAAAATTAAATAAGCAAATATTAGACCATGTGTGTTTCTGAATGTGCTACATAGTTGTTTCTCAAGTGCCTGTTATGTATGCAATCATATATCCTACTTAGGTCCTTCATTCAAGGTCAGTCATTTATTCCGCTCCAGTCACTGTCCAGATGTTGAAAGTGTGAAATGAACAAAATGAATCCCTGCCATCAGGGAGCCTACAGTCTGTTGGGGAAGATGCTTAACAGGCAAATGAACAGACAGTATTCATTTCCAGGTTGACATGATTAGTTGCAAGTACTG